TCTTGACGAATCCACAATCAGAGCCTTTGACTAGCCAAAGGCTCTGATTGTGGATTCGTCAAGAAAACCCACCCTCTTTCGCCTTGGCAGTATTCCGCCCACATGCAAATCATGGAACTTCTTCCTTTTTATAAAGATTACTGTACCATGATTTGTTTGGCATACAGTTTGGCTTCAGGCGTGTGAAATATAATATTATAATAATATTTAAATGTATGATCCTTTTTGAGAAAGGTGGAATTTGAAAGAATGCTTGGCGAAGTAACGGAAGTCTTGAAAATCCGGCTTTCATCATGTAGGTCGTATTAGGCATTCCGAATAGGAAAATCTGAGACGGCCGTACCAATTGTTAGAGAGACTGAGTGATATTACTATGTTTGCAATTCGTACATAGCAAGATTTTTACATCAACAGCATTTCGGGTCTATCCACCTTCTTTTCTCTATTGATCGGCCACAAAACGTGGTGCAGTCGTGTACAGGATTAATCGTTGTGTAAGCAGAGACCTGGCTAAAATAATCCCATATGATCAAAGCGACTGAAGAACTCGGAGCAATATGAGAGCATTAGGTGGGAGCAACATGAATCTAGAATGACCAACCTTGCCATCGATTCCTTGCATGCGATTGGGTCGATTAGACCAAGTGGTGAATTCGAGCAGAGCGTCAAGATCCTCACGTTGCAGATTATACTGGATGAGGGTTTGTAACACACGATCCGTGTCGCCTGATCCAAGGACGGGTGCAAAAAACGAATAAATGGAAGTGAAAATCTTACGAGCTAAAGCGAAGCTGAAGACGCAAGCAAATAAAGCATTAGCGATTAGAATAAGAGAGTGAGCGGGCTCAGACCACTGGATGAAGTGCAGAAAAACTAACGAGATGGACACGCGAAAATAGCCCACAGATGAAGACATTTTTCGACCTTGGCTTTATGGACGGTAGACCTGGATTCTGCGATGCGTACCTCCAGGTTCAGGACAGTAGAATGAATAATGGATCGCGAACGGGTTATTGTTAACGCTCTAGATAATGTCCATTTCTCAATTGGCAATAAACAAGCAAGCATGGACACTAAGCTAGTCTGGGCCACCAGTAAACCAGCACTGCATCTCAATAGCATGTGGTGAGATGCAGATCATCAAAAAAAGTAGCATCGGGGTTGCCAATATGTAGCTAAACCCCTGGATTTACCGTTGATTTACTATAGGTTCATAGCTTTAATTGTAAGAAGACAAAAAATAACCTTCACAGCATCCTCTAACACAAAGTAAACCGTGATGAGATGAGAATACAGTGGCATGAGTTAGGATCCGATTTAGTAAATATATGTTGACAACTTCGAAGAAAAACGGCACAAAAATGTATGATATCTTGTGCACAGATATTGGTTTTGGCCGATTCTGCCACTGTTACACTCTGGAACGCCAGTTTACATTTTATACAGTCAGGTAAACACAACTCTAGGCAAAATAAATAGGGTGGAGACAGTGTATTCGAGACTGACATATCGAGTCAGGTTTCGGAGTAAGAAAATAGTGAAACCTGAGTTGTGGTGGCGCAGTGGTTTATTCGCTGT